GATTAATGTACTCTCACGATCATTCATTAAATCGTTAGTCCGATTCTGAGCCGCACGTTGTCCTGTGTGTTCCGATTTTCTGTGTTGGGTTACGGGCCCTAAATTACTGTGCATAGCGTCGCGGTTGAAATCCGATCTTAACAGATGGGTTCTTTCGCATGGAACCCTTAAGCATATACAGCGATGACAGTCAGGTAATCCGGCTTTCTCCTGAAACGCGCTATGGCAATCCTGGGAGAGATTGGTTCCCAGATCATGGTATTGTTGGTCCGGCCGCTCACTGCGATTGCTACCTCGTGCAAATCGGAGTTGTCAGTTGGGCCGCTGTGGTATAACCAGTAGTTTGTGTTGCTATGTGGTACGTTGATTAGTTGTGTGCCACAGTTAGGTAGTCGGACTTCGGACTGGCTTCCTGTGTTTAACAATGTTCTAACATTCCAGAATGTTACATGGATGCTGGATCTGGAGTATAGACGATTTAGTTTCCCAGGTTGCTCATTTGTCACCACAGTCACTGGGAGAGCGCAGGGCGCGTCGCTTCCCGGGAACGCCGTGATGTATCATTGTAAGATGATCCATGAGGAAACTTGGGAATGAGGTACCAATTGAAGTCCCCAGCGTCGCTCGGCTTTTGTTCGAAGGTGCAAATCTAACCCTTGCACAACTAAGTGCGACCTGTAGGGTAACAGGGTAGAGTTGTTGGTAGCCGGTGACGATTAGAACGGTTCATACGCCTTTCGGAAGGCTCTGCACCCGTCCAGGATTACCAACGTATCAGTGAAGTAGTATTCCTCAGTTTGTCCTACTCGTAAGAGTAGGCAAGTAGCAATGGTCTTATTTGGTGGTAGGCCGCATTCGCCCACGTCGCGATGCTGTCAGCAGAGACTTATGGCATTTGAGTAGGATATCGGTTGCCTGCCGAAAACCCCATCACGTCCTCTAGCATCGCTCTAGCCCTCTAGCAGCATGATCGTCTGCAACCGATTATTCATTGAGGTGGCCCCACCTATTCACGGTTGACCGCCAATGTGGCCGTTCAGAGAGCAGTATTGAGATAGAAATCAGTGCCAAGATTTCTCTCAATTGCGTTTGGGAAATTATGCCTGCAAAACAACACATTAGTCGGGTGAGCAACAAATCAGTCGTAGGCGTATCCGGGCTGCTGCTGAACATCACACCATTTGAAAGCGTCGAATATCCTCTGCAGACAAAGTCGGAAAGAGAATACAGTTCCTCTTATTCTTTTGATTCGGTCGAATTTTAGAAACAAAATTTCATACATGTAAGATGCTTTTTTGTATGATTGAAAATTACGTACACCGGACCTACCTTTAATCAGTTCACAACCCAAGAATTCAGGTTTGGCCCTAAACAACTCCCAGTTTATTGACCTTTGCCAACCGGATCGGAACTTGCTACATTCCCCTTCTACGAACATTTTGTTTGTACCTTTCCGTAATTCCCTTGTGATTACATAACCGCCCCGCATAGCAACTCTCGGTATTAATCATCGCAACCCGTTCCTCGTCCGGCCTATTATCGCGATATATTATCTACACTCCACGTGGAAACCGTTTCATACTGATTGTCGTGACCCTTTCCTCGTCCAACTTGTTACTGCAATCCTTTATCTCCACCTCATACGGAAACCTTGTCGTGGTAACTGTCGTCCTATTCTCGTATTATACTATTGCCACCCCTCATGGAACTTTGTCGTAGTAACTGTCGTAACTCGTTCTGTGCTTCATCCATTATCGTTTTCAACTATCTCGATCCGGCATAGAAACTGCAGCTT